TAACAGTGAAGTGCTTGAAGTCAAAATGCCTTTTCATTAATGGCCCGGTGGGTATCCAAAGTAACTCCATTTAAGTCAAAGCAATTAAAGAACTATAAATCTGCTGTGAAAGTCCTTTCTGTGCAGTGATCTTAAAACGAGCTTTTAAAAAATGTTTTCACTAGGAAGTTATGCCATATTGATCTAAGAATAGAAGTGTGTACAATATGTTCCCTAAAAATTTCTCTCTCTCTCTCTCTCTCTCTCTCTCTCCTCCTCCTCCTCCTCCTCCTCCTCCTCCTCACCAAGAGAACAGGGTATAGAAGTGGCTGAGTTGTAATAATATATCTGTTGGGAAACCCAGTTTGGCCTAACTGGGCTAATCAAGAGCATAGTAATGGTGTTGTGCTCCTCCTGAAGAGTAGTGCTGAAAAGCCATGTGGAATGTTCTCCCTGCGGTGGGAGCCTGCCTGGCCTCCACAAGAGGCAGTGATGGCTACCAGCTTGGGTTAGACAAATTCCTGGAGAGTGAGACTATCAACAGCTCCTATCTCCTACATTCACTGCTGGAGGCAGTATGCCTCTGAAGATTATTTACTGTGAATCGCAGGTGAGCAGAGTGCTGTTGCGCTGAGGCTTTTCTTTGGGCATCTGATTGGTCACTTTGAGAAGAAGAGGAAGAGAAGAGTTAGGATTTGATATCCCGCTTTATCACTACCCTCAGGAGTCTCAAAGCGGCTAACAATCTCCTTTTCCATTCCTCCCCCACAACAAACACTCTGTGAGGTGAGTGAGGCTGAGAGACTTTAGAGAAGTGTGACTAGCCCAAGGTCACCCAGCAGCTGCATGTGGAGGAGCAGGGAAGTGAACCCGGTTCACCAGATTATGAGTCCACTGCTCTTAACCACTACACCACACTGACTGTTGGACTAGAGGGGACTTGGGCCTGTTTCCAGTGGAGCTCTTATTATTTCCTAAAATCTGGATTGTCTTCATTGGTTATAATCCGGTCACTTGGAAGTCTGTTTCTGCTAAAGTAATCTAAGCTATTCATTCAAGCGAGGCGTGTAAGGAAATATCAAACAGGAAATAGATTCCAGTCTCCAACCTCTTATGAATATGGGAGTTGCCAAAGAAAGATCATAAAGGTTACTGGACAAGGATGACAGGAAGTAGCAGTTAAATCTGGAGAAACATTGGCTGCTGACAAGGAGAGTTCTGTTGCAGTAAAAGTCCAAGTCCTTTAATGGGAAGAATCAAATTCAATGGCCAGAATAAATGGTGAAATCCAGTTTGCAGTCTGACCACATTCCCCGCCTCCCGTATGCAAAATTTGAAGCATTATGGCAGGACTGAGGGGAAAATGGGATCTATGCCATGTTGCATACACATCACTATGAAAGAGGAGGGGAATTAGAGCAAATCTACTGGGGCCTAGTGCAATTAAAGCTAGTTTGGGTCACATCCAAAGCACCTGACTTCGGCCCATAATCCTGAGAACTGTAGTCTACTCCTCACAGAGTTACAAGTTCTGGCACCTTAACAAACTACATTTCCCATGATTCTTTGGAAGAAGCATGAGGTTCCTGAGGGCAGAGGGGAGGGGCACAAGGAGCTCAGTGTGGTGATGCCATGGAGCTGGTGCGGCAACAGGAACAGCAGATTGGCCCTGTCACCACGCCACAATGCACTCAGTTACCTGCAGTTTGTTGAGGGCGCTGAGAGTTGTTAGGAGACCCCTCATGGAGCATAAATTCCGAGAGTTCCTGACACAGCAAATGCTTATCGCTGTATCCAGGGGCTGATTCATTATGGGGTGGAAAAGGCAGCCTTCACTCCTCCTTGCCATCCCCACCTTCTTCATGGGAAATGGGAAGGTCTTCACCAGAAGGTAGGAGACGGATCTGGGTGGCGGCAGGAACTCCATTTCTTTTAGTTGTGTCAGTTTCATTTCAAGACTTGAAAAATACCCTCCCACCCACCCCTCCCTCTTCCCATTTGCTGTGTGGATGGTTTATCTCATGCTGGAGCGGTGTCTGAAGAAACACTCTGTGGAGCGCCTCTGCTTATCACTGCTTTTACATGGCATCTCTAAGCAAATGTTTAGCCCTACTTGACTCGGGACGAGTGCTGTATTGATTATTAGCTTGAAGGAAACATCTGGCTTTCATTACAAATGGTAGCAGACCAGAGAGGGGTGCTGTACTGGGCGGTGCGGTCACTTAAGAGCCATCAGGGCTAGCTATAAAGAAAATTTAACATATCCTGTAATTACAGACTGCCAAGCACAAAAGGGATCTGCAGATCTGATTTCAGAACAGAAGAAAATGTTTATTGTATCTGCTCCACACATTTATTTACTCAGTAGTAGCTGGGCTTTTGAAATATTGCCTGTGGAAGAGCTTAGTCCTCCTTTTGCTCATGAGAACTTCCTTGTTTAAGTCAGGAAACTTGAGTCGGGCTCAGGATGGCCTGCTTAATGCTTTTTCAAGGTTTCACGACTGTTGGTGGATATGCTCTCAAGCTGAAATGGCAATTTTTGCCTTTGGTCTGTCTGCAAAGCTGGGCTAAATAGGCCATTGGCCTGATCCAGCAGGTTCCTCTTGTGTTGCTATGGCTACAAGTTTAAACCCCAAGAGTTTAGGACTATGGGTTTGGAAACTATGGCCTTTGCTCCCACAAGACGTAGTGATGGCCACCAACTTGGAGGTCTTTAAAAGAGCGTTAGACAAACTTATGGAAGATAGGGCTTTCGTTGGCTACGAGGGATGGAGGAGAAGTTTGATTCGGTTCATATTTAAAGGCAACCTACCCAATTTGTGCTTTCTGAAACTAGATGTAAGCCAAATGTGTCCCTCTTTTGAAATCCACTCCAGCAAAATTTGCAGTGCAGTTCTCCAGACAAGTAGATTGTACAAAAATGCATATACCAAAGTAAAGTATGGATAAAAATGCATATACAGTGGAACCTCAGTTGTCGAACGTAATCCATTCTGGAAGACTGTTCAACTTCTGAAACATTCGACAACCAAGGCACAATTGTCGGTCAGCAAATTGTCGAGGCGTGTTCCAAAATGGAAGCATTCACTTCCGGGTTGTTGGTGTTTGGGTTCCAAATTGTTTGGCTTCCAAAGCGTTCGACAACTGAGGTTCCACTGGACTTGAGAAACTAGCATTACAAATGCATTATATAAGGGGAAATTGCTTTGCAAAATATGCGCATATTAGGTGAAATTTGCACTAGAATGCTGCTGAATTTTCACAAGGACTTAAAAAGAAAATCACAAGCTGATGTAGAAATGTGGAGCTCTGAACTGGATTGGAAAAACTGAGAAACTGAGAGAAACCAAAGCTGACTTATTCTCCCGTCCCTATTGGCTACTATCTATGATGGATGTATACTGCCTCTGAATACCAGTTGATGGGAACCACTAGTGGGTTGTTTCACTCAGGTCCTGAGTAAGCCACTCTGAGAACAAGATGCTGGACCAAATGGGTCTTTGGCTTCAGGGCTCTTCTGATGTTCTGTAAATATCAGAAATATGAAATGTTGCATTTATAACAAGTGGGTTATCATGAGTGGCATTGTATATCTGCATCTTGCTTTTCCACTCAGGAACTCAAAGCTGGGTATATTATCATCTGGAAAGGCTTGGCTAAACAAGAATGTTTTTAGCAGGTGCTGCGAAGGCACCTGCTTGATCTCAACAGGCAAACTGTTTTAAATAATGAATTTTATATTGTTGTAACCCACCTTAGGGGGACCTTACAGTGAAGGGTAGGCAAGAAATCAATTAAATAATATCAACTGCCCTGTGAGGTAAACTAGGCTAAGTTAATACATGAACCTAAGTGTCAGGGGTTCAGGAGCAGAGGCAAGGGCAAGGGAGGAAACAGAGAGCGAGGGGGAGGAGGCAGAAGAAAAGATGAGTGATGACGACGACTCGAGATCTCCGAGTCTTTCCAGTGAATCAGAAGATTCACAGAAAGGAGCACCAGTGGCCAGGGCAAGGGGGGAGCCTAGGGGGACACACCAGGAAGATAGAGCCAGAGGGGACTCAGAGGGGAGCAGTTGGAAATCGGGACCAGCGGGAGGCAGAGGGACCCAGAGAAGAACAGTCAGGCGGAAAAGGTGGAGCAGGGCTAGGATATTAAGTTGGTGTACAAGGGGCGGAGACTCAGACGGAGCTTCGCCGATCTAACCATGAGACGTAGAGTTGCACGCAGCAGCTTGAGAATGGAAACTGTAACTCAATAAAGACTTTTGTTTAATGATCGCTGGCTAGCGTGATCCTCTGTGAGCTAGGATCTGGAAGCAGCTCTGACACTAAGTGTCAGTTCTTGCCTATAGTTTGTGTGGGATGGATGCAGTGAATCAGGCCCAGAAAAGCCTGTTGGCATCCCTGGCTGGTCTTACAGAAATCATTTTCTGTGTATGCCTCAGAACATTTCATGGCAATTTCTCCCAGGTAGGAACCTCTAAATTTGCCTTGAAATGTTGCTTTAGGTGGAAATTGAGTGTCAACTCTAGTCTTAGGTCTTATTGACTTTGCTCAGAGTGGAGTATTTATTTGCCAACCTCAGACACCCAGGACATCCAGAGTTATGGCTTCTCCACACTTCCGCTTGTCCGATGCCCAGTAAAGCATGGGTCTGAGAAATTCCCTTGGAAAACCCACTCTTTAGCACTAAATCGGAACAAACGGCAATTTGTAAAAAACCCCAATTTCCATTTGTTCCGAATCACTGTCAAACCATGGTTTTTCCCAAGGGGAAAGAAGTGGGAGCAAACAGAATTGTGGACGATTCGTTAAATGATACAGCACAGCTCAGCTAGAAAGTTGCAGTTTTCTGTGGGTTCCAAGTGGCCCTGGCAACATTCTGTGAGTCTTACAAATGCTCATTTTGCTTTCCTTTTAAATGCTTGGTATGGAATGTCCAAACATACCTGAGATTTTAATTCAGGTGAAATTGGGTGGTAATTCTCCATCAGAGGAAAATTTACTTGCTTATTAGGTGATGGGGCTTTAGCTTAGTGGTAGAGCACATGTGTCACATGCAAAAGGCTCCAGGTTCAATCCCTGGTGCCTCCAGGTATAGCTAGGTGAGACCTTTGTCTGAAAGCCTGGAGAGCCCGTGGGGATGATTAGGGAGGCAGAAGAGGATATATTATTTAATAATATCCTTCCAAACTTGCGCTAGCAAGTTTCATATTCTAGCAGAGTTCCAAACATCCCCCATTTTAGATTACGCAGTGATCAGCTTGTCGCTGACTCATCTGAGTCTTACTATTAAAGATTCCGTCCTGGTAAAATCCCTTGCCTTCCCCTCTTAAAAAGAATGAACACAAGAATGTACCTTGGGTTAAGAACTTTGCTTCAGGATGAGAACAGAAATTGTGCTCCGGCGGTGCGGTGGCAGCGGGAGGCCCCATTAGCTAAAGTGGTGCTTCAGGTTAAGAACAGTTTCAGGTTAAGAATGGACCTCTGGAACGAATTAAGTACTTAACCCGAGGTACCACTGTACTTGACTGCAGTTTTACATCCCACAGAGCCCATTCCAGACAGCATAGACAGTGCTGAGATAGAGGGACCAACAGTCAAACTCAGCATGAGGAAGCTTCTTACATTGCCTCATTTAAAAGCAATATTCATTTTGCATCCTTAATATTAGTTTCTATTTTTCTCACTTGCCACCAGTCCCTTGAAATCCAGTTTCTCCAAACAAAACAATCCTGTTATTTCACTGCAGACTGTCAATTTCATGGGCTGCTGATACATTTATTAGGTGTGTAATTTGCTGTGTTTAGGAGGCTGCGGGGAAACAGCACAACTTGTCTTTCTTCATTTGTAACTTAGATAGTTATCTGCCCACTAAAAATATTTTCACTATTGTAAAGCAAATTATGGAGGTGGATAGGAGAGAAATCTTCCCTAGCAGACTTCTCATTGGGTTGAATAATACATTTTGTCTATGAGATCTTTGTATCAAAAATCTATTTATTTGCAGATTGTCTTTCTGACGACAGGACATGGAAGCAGTTTAGATAATCTAGTCTAGCAAGCACCTCCTGCCCACAACTCAACCCCATCCTGCTGGGACCTACCTCAGGCTCCTCCATTTCTAACCCCCCAAAGCTCCTCCCATTTCTCCAGTAAGTGGCAGGAAGCAGAATGTTAAACTTCTTGCTGATAATATTCTTGTACTGTTCAGCAATTCCTTTCAGGCAATTCCAATACTTAACTGAGCACTGAACTGAGTTCTGTAAACATGCTGGCTTTGAAATTATGGTAAATCAGAGATATTATGCATGACTATCCTGTGGCTTGAACAAACTCAGTTGAGGTCCTTGCTGGGTCAATCTCTGTCCTTTGGTAGCTTGAGCTACTTGGGTGTAAACATTGCTAGAGATTTGTGTCAGTTGCAACCCTTCATAGCCTCACAGGGAAATGCAAGGTTCCAGCCTCCTAACCTCCAACTTTACCTTGATGCAAGTCAGCTGAAACCACCATGCCTGGGTCCGGCAGCTGGCTATAGATTAAAAATTAACTAAACAGGACAGAAATGCTCGAGAAGAAATCCACACAACTAAACTCTCACAGACATGCTTCCAATTTATTATATATGCAAATACAAGGGATAGAAAGCTTCAGCCATCTGCTGACAAGATCAACTTTTGGAGCAATTCCCTGTTCCCTGTTGCAAGGCTTCATCTCCCTGTAACCCCAAATTTGACATTTTCTCATGTATACTTACTAAGCTGTGAACTTACTGTTTTTTTTAATTGTTCTATATCTGTTGCTGTAAAAAAAGCAATAAAAATTTAGTGTTTACTACTACTACAGCACGAGAAGGTGGGGGAGGGAAGTATTTGGGTGTGCTATTTAAATTCAGAGTAACAGTGTGACCCTGTACACTCGGACTGAGCAAGTCCTTTGCATTGCTGTCCTTCCAAAACAAGCAGATGACGTTAATGAACTGCTGCTATCACCAAAAATGCCATGTCTTCCAAAAAAAGAGGTTTTGCTCCACTGTTGCATCCACTGTGGTCTTCAAGCCTGACTGGACCAACAAATTAAGTGGCATGACTCCTACACACATGAGCTTGTTCTAACTAAGTGGCAAATGACAGACAAGCCAGATGGTTTTACCAGCTTGGACAAGAGCATTTATCTTATTCACCAAGAGCAACGGCCTACCACTATCCTTCATGACAAAGCCTGTAAATTGAAGGGTGTGCACTACTGACTATCTCTCTCCCTGTGTGAGGCCTAGATAGGAAAACAGGAACAGGCGAAGACAATCCCCTCTGACAGGGAAAAGTTGTGAACATTCCAGGCCTACATTTTAACAGGGTGAACCTTGCTCTTGTCAACACCCAAGCAACCTAATAATGTTGGAGCCCTGGGGGAGGGGCGTGGGTACGGATTTTGTCCCATTATCAATATGTGTGAAGGGGCTTATCAGCTCACAAGGTAAATGAAACACACACTGAAGTCTGCAGATAAAAAACCTGGAGTGAGGGTTGCAATGGATAATTTTGTGAAGGAAAACCAGTTTTTTTTTTTAAAAAAAAAGGATAAAAGAGAGAGAAAGAAAGATACAGGCTGCATCCATACCATCCATTTAAAACACCCACCTGAACAGGGGTTGCCAACATGAATAAAATATTAGGGGGGGCAGGTGAGCCCCACCCTGCATAACCAATCACAAGATGTGGTGCACACACACCATTTGAATGGCAATGCCTATCAACTTGGGGGGGGGGGCTCCAATATTTGCACTTTTACCTAACAGATGCATTTCCTTTGCAGACAATTTTCCCTAGTGTGATGCAGTTTTGGACACTAACATCCACAGTTCTGAGAGCTTTTTCTCCTGAGATGTGTATTTTCGACATGTTTCTGCTTGGGGAACCGGATCACAAAAGCTGAAGTAAGTGTGAGCTTAGAAGGGCAGTTGCTTTTCAGTCCACACATTCATTTGTAGAGCGCAAATTGTGTTTTACAAAAGTGAACAGAATGGATTTCACACCCACCCCTAGTTGGTGAAAGGAACTTTTCTCTGGTTCGGATTGCAGTCCATTCTGGAGAAGAGCTCGAAGGGTTGTGTGGTGCTGTCCTCAAACTTCCAGCTTTCACATTCGGAACCAGAGAATTATGGGACATACATAGAACACAGAAGGCTGCCTTATACTGAGTCAGACCATTGGTCTGTCTACCATACTGATTAGTAATAGTCCTTCAGGGTTTCAGCCAGGGGACATTCCCAGGCCTACCTGAAGTTGCTGGGGATTGAACCTGGGACCTTCTGCATGTAAAGCACATGCATTACCTCTGAGCTATGGCTCTTCCTCAAAGGAACTTTGGTGAATTCACTACTTCAGTGAATATACACCAGTGTGGTGTAGTGGTTAAGAGCGGTAGACTCGTAATCTGGGGAACCGGGTTCACGTCTCTGCTCCTCCACATGCAGCTGCTGGGTGACCTTGGGCCAGTCACACTTCTCTGAAGTCTCTCAGCCCCATTCACCTCACAGAGTGTTTGTTGTGGGGGAGGAAGGGAAAGGAGAATGCTAGCCGCTTTGAGACTCCTTAGGGTAGTGATAAAGCGGGATATCAAATCCAAACTCTTCTTCTTCTTCTTCCTGATCTGAGCAACTGCACCATGTCTGGCTACAGGCTGCCTTTGCCTTCCCCTTCCCCTTCAACTTGCATGAAGCCAGATGTGGGAAAAAATGTATAACAAGCTCAAAAAGAGACAATGGAAACGCATCTGCTTGGCCCATCCTTTCATTTCTGAGTGCTATTCTTCACAAAAAAATATTTATGAAGGGAAGCAAAGGGGAAACCTTTCTAGATCTCAACGGTCTCTGCACAAGAGATCCTCATCAGACAAAATGGCGAGATTTCTTGATCCCATTTTTGCCTTAGGGCAATTATCCCAGACTTTGCTTCCTCTGATAGAAACATTAAATCATACTAAAGGACAAATTCCATTACTTTATCACTTAAAAAAATATTCATTCAAGGTCTGGCAATAAAAATGAAGCACGATGCCAAAACATCCTCAATGAGAGAAGAATATTCTGTGACACCTGTGCAATAAATGAATTGAAACCATACATCATATTGTGAGTGCCTGTGAAAGACTTGTCAATATATGATATATATATATAGCCCCATTCCCATGAATCCAGATGCATCCCGATAGACACACAGCCTGCAGAAAACAACGCTGAAGTTAAAATTTTCGGAAACTGGCCTGTTGTAAAGTTGTTACACGCAGCCAACTGACTTGACATGACTTATGGAAATCTTCTTTCCAGGAAGCAACAGATGCCTCAGCTCCATCGGATCATTATATGATCAGACCAAAAGGATGACATAAATCGCAGCATTATTATCCTTCCAAAATGGCATCTTGGGGTGGTGGGAGAGGAAACTAACATTATTTCTACATCATTGAGGCTTCTGGAATTATTGCTCCATTCGATAAACTGAAGAACTAAAAGGATGTCTCCCAATACTGACATATCTATTTGGCAGGCAGGCATTGTGATGACGTAGGAATCCATGGTTGGAAACCTGACCCAATTATTTATCTGTATTTTACTCCATTGCACAAAAGGAGCCAGTATTTATGCATCCAGTCACTTCAAACTGTACAATATTAATACCTGCAATAAAGAACAAATTCTGGCAAAGATCACCAGTGTCGAAGCAATGATTCTTCAACATCAACTTCGTTGGACTGGTCATGTTGTTTGGATGCCTGATTATTGTCTGCCAAATCAACTACTCTATTCCGAACTTAAAAATGGAAAGTGTAATTCTGGTGGTCAACAAATTAGGTTTAAAGACTCTCTCAAGGCAAATTTAAAAAATGTAGTATAAACACCAACAACTGGGAAACACTGGCCTGCAAGTGCTCCAATCGGAGAACAGCCTTTACCAAAGGTGTCATGGACTTTGAAGATGCTTGAACTCAGGATGAAAGGGAGAAATGCTAAGAGGAAGGCACGTTTGGCAAACCCTCATCATCAACAATTCCCACCTGGAAACCTGTGTCCCCACTGTGGAAGGACGTGTGGA